TTTTTTTTAAAACTCTCCTCTCTAATAAGACTATAGATGCTTAAGTGGTAGAAGAAATCTCTTGTACTGTGAAGACCCATATTTTAATACTGGCAATACATTAGTGTAAAATCCAGCTATAAGAACGATGTGGGCTCAATAAATATAATGATTCCAAGTTAAAAAGATCGTAAAATTCAACTGATAGAAACAATGAAATGTAACTGAAAGAAGGGCTGCAATAGCTAGGAAAGTCGAAGAGAAAACATTAATTCACCAGAAATTAAAAGAAAATGGTAGAAAATGAACCAAAAAATAAAGAAATAATATTGAGATATATGTAGACTAGCTCAGGAATCTTCCTTTTATGAATTAGATAAATTAAAGGAAAGGAGAACAAGAAAGATTGATAATAGAAAAAAAATAAATATGAGAAAATTTTCCTTGTTAAGAGAGTATTAGATTTAGGAATTGATTTTTCAGGTAAATGTAATGAGAAACATTATATAAGATGTGTTCTCTTGAAATTTTAAATGTTAATGACAAAGAAATATCAAGGCTTGAAAGGAAAAATCACTCAAAGATAAAAGAATTAGATTGGCTCCTAAACTACCTACATCATGAAAGTCTGGAATATATTAGAAAAATATCTGCAGATTTCACAAGGGAATAAATGTTTTAGCTTAAAATTCTATTTTATCAAAAATATTTCATGAGATCATTTGGGGAGCAAAGTTTTGAAATATATAAAACTCAGAACATAGAACAAGTATCTTTTCTAAATAGTTCACATCAAGACAAAAATATAATTGATACTCAATATTTTGTATGCAATTCAAATTTATATATTATTATGCACTATAAGTAAGAAATGTTATAAATGTTACTGTGATTTTAATAGAATATATTTACTAAGCATTATGTAAACTCTCTAAGTATACTAGTATTTAATATGTAATTCCTTTGTGTAAGGGAAGCTATTCTAGCCTGAATTTCTATCTCAGTATTCTCACTAATGATGTTTAAATTTTAATTGAGTAATTTATCTTTAAATAGGATACTTTGTCTTGGTGTGTATTAATGTGTGTGTGTGTGTGTGTGCATGGTTCTATAAAAATATATAAATACTACTGAAAACAGAAAAGTAAAAACTGAAATTTTTAATTCCAGACTAATTTTTTTCTTTTTATTGAGTTTATTGGTACATTCTAGATATACAGTACAGTTACATTCATCGTTAGGATCTTGTACCTTTACGTGACAGGTCTTGGTTCTCATTTTTTCCCCTTGTCCGTGCCCTCCCTTCACCGCCTCCTCCCCTCCCCCTTTACAAACACTTTATTTCCATTTTTTCATTTTCTCATATTTTATTTCTTTTCCCTTATTCCCTTTCCCCTACCCTTCCCATTTTCCCTACTCCTTTAGCCCTTTTCTTCCTATCTCACATTGTTAATTATCTCATTAGGATCTTGTGTAATTTCCAGACTAAATTAAAAAATATGTTGTAAGCATTTCAGTTTGCAAACATTCACTATTTCTCATTTTACAAAACAGAGGGTAAAAAAGCCCTAGATTATATATAATAGAATAACCTATAAGTAAACCTATTATGAAATTTCTAACTATGAATACAGCTCCAACAGGTAGAGCTATCAAAGCTGGATCTTGATAAATTCTTAGAAAGCAACATAGTAGAGAAAAGAAGTTTACAAATTCTACATCAATTACCTCATTGTGATATATCACTTCTTCCCCCTTCATGTTAGCTTGCAGGCCCTGGAAAAACTGCGTTATACCATCTCAAACTTCTTTGTTTACTGCTCATAAGAAAGTATTTCTTTTAATAAATCATCCTTCAATTTTTTTCACAATTTTGCTAGGCATATACATATAACGTGGTCATTTTTATTATTTGCATTTAGACACATTTTTATTTCATCTCTCTTATGGAAGTTTCATGAAAAACTTGCTATCTAGTTGCAGAAACTTGTAAGGCTATGAAAAGTCATGAAGAAATAAAGAGCCTTCAGGGGCCTGGGATTTATCTCAGTGGTTCCACCGTCTGCCTCACAAGCACAAGGACCTGAGTTCGACCCCCGGTACCAATAAAAAGAGCATTCATAAGGTACCACTTGAAGACAAGAGTTGATAATGAGTGGTTATTTGTGGATCACATATGATAAGGGGAAAAGAAACGTCAGGTTAGCAAGGCTGTACTGTGTAGGGAAAAGCTCTCCGAATCGGGGCTTGTTCTAGGCCTGAAATGATACGTATGGTAGTTAAAACAGAACCGAGAAGGTACTTTGTGAACAACTTAACCCAAAGTGAAGGTAATACAGGCTAGTCAGATTTAACCCAGGAAAAATAATACAGAATCAAGAGGTCATTCAGGTTGACCTGAAAGTTTAATTTCAAATTCAAATCATTAAAAATATTTGATTGTATTGCAACCTGTAACTAGATTAACACGTAAAGTGGTTTTAATTGTTGTGCTAAAACCCCAGCTATCCCACTGGACAGCCAGAAACCAAGGTCCATAAAAAAATAAAAATGAGGGAAGCGAGGGGAAAAGGGAAAAATAAGAACACAGATCTGTCATGTAGAGGTACAAGATCCCAGTGATAAATGTAAATGTATTGTATAACTAAAATGTACCAATAAGAAATATTAAAGAAAAAATAAAAATGATACGTAAATGAAGAAAGGCCTTAAAATGAAACATTATAAAAAGATGAGAGAAATTAGCCGAAGTTGGCACATATTGATTGGTTAATGTTCTTTGCACTTGTTTGAAAGAAATAGTAAATGTTAAATACTCTAAAAAATGTTCTCTAAGCCTATTTTACAAGCACTGATTAAAAGAAGTGAATACCAAATGTAACCAGAAGATTTCCTTTTCATTCATCTGCTTCTGAGAATGCTAAGTATTTTGTTATCTCCACCGCTCTCAGAAATTCTCTACCAATAGTCTTATCTATACATATTCATCACTTTGACAGCAGAATCAAGAATAAAAATTCAGATAAGAAAACATGATGTGCATTTTTATCTTTTAAATATTATATATATACATATATATATGTATATATATAAATAAGTATATGAAAACAGCTTCATAGAATGAACAATATGAATAAGCACCTTGTATCTTCATTTTATCCTGATAGTGGTAGCATAATAATACATGCTGATCATTTGAGTTGGGGATATTCAGAATTCTCTTTTCTTCTCCTAAAAGTCAGTAATAAAGGGCTCATCTTTAAACATTCCAATTGATTGCCTCAGTGATTACATTTCTACAGTTTACCCATACCATATATTCTCACAGATATTGAGAAGGTTGGTCTTGCCACTCAGAATACTTTTGAAACTAGTGCAATTCTTGAGCTGACTGCCTACGTGAGCTTTGATTGTATACTCAAAGACCTCAAAGACAAGAGGTGAGCCAAATATTTGAGGAATTTCACTACTACTGAATAATTATGACGACTCTTTTCTAAGTAACACAGAGAAAAACGTTTTGCTCTTTACTTTGCTTGCGTTTGTCGGGGAATACAATAATAAAAAATCCTTTAGTAATTTACCTGATGGCATCAATCATAGTTATCTCAACTGAATGCATTTCTAAGGTATGTAAGAATGTTTTTCTGAAACTTATACTTGTTGACTTGGGACTTACTTATTGCAAGATACTCTTTCAAGGATTAAAGAATTATTTATTATTTTGAAATATATAGCACTGGAATAAAAATGTGAAGTCAAATTTTTTTTCTTTAAATATGACTCTACAATTAAAATTTATATAATCACTAGAGATAAATCCATTGTAAAAACATGTAAAAGTTTCTGTCTATTTCCAAAGAATCAAAATAGTTGGTACAGAGGCAAACATATTTTTCATTTAACATTAAAGTATATTTTATTATACTAAGAGATATGCATTCCGAAGGCATTCATGTTTAATTTTACCTCCTTTCTGAACCGGAGGTGAAATAGCAAAGAAATTCAAAATCTGAAAAGGTATAAACACTGCTGCCCACCTGTTGACTTTTCTGCAAATTCTGAGAACTCAAAACAGAAATGTGACTAAAATAATGAACTGTAATGCTTCTTTCTTGATTTATTTCCCACATTAAGGATCAACTAGATTTCCTTGCAGAAAAGAAGCTCAGCTCTTTGAACCAGATTTTGTTTCTTTTGTGATGTAAACCCCAAGTCACTCCAATAAGACCTTTCCAAAAAAATGTTTCCTATAGTTCAGTTCAACTTTCCTAACAGCCAAGCCCTTGTAGACTGGCATTTACTTTTCAGATTTCATCATTTCTGCCCTTGCTTTCGGTCTTTTAACAAGCCCTCAGGCAGGAGCACATTCACAGCAGAAATCTCTTCAGAAAAATAAAAGGCCACAAATAAATGGATTTGCATATCAAAATGTTTTGTTCTTAAAGACAACATTTCTCCCTGGAATATTAGAAGCAATAAACAATATTTCTGCCATTAATTTATAGTCTTCGAGAATAGTTACATTCAACTTAGTATTTATTATGTTTTGTGACTCAGATAATTATATATTGAAAATAAAGAGCTACACATATATGTAAATAGTCTCTTAACATTCTGCATACCTTGGCTTTAGATTTCATATTTTTCCTTGACTTTCTCTTTCCTAAGGTCTTCTATTGCTGTAGAACTTGAACAAATTTTTCTACCTTAAGGCCCTCCCTTGTACTAATTGCTGCATTGTAATTGACCCATGACATTTATCAAGAGATTTTGTTGAATACCAAAAAAATCTAAGTCAAACATTTTTTGTTCTGCTGCATAAAATTACATACGAGCAAAAAGAAGACATTTTTACTTAAATAATTTTGCAATTATGTGAGAGAACAATCTCGCATAATTGCCACACAGATGATAACAACTTAGCTCTCCAACCCAACAATCTTCTGTTTGCTTTAGTTGTTGAACTGCTATCATAAGTTTTTAAATGCTTACATAAATATAAAATAAAAATACTATACCTTGCTTGTACATCTGGGGATCACAGTTTAGAGACATGACAACACGAACTCCTATAAATAAAAAAGGGTGATTTAGTAAGAGGCATTTGCAAGCCTGAATTAAAACAATTATATATATAAAGCAAAGCATTTTATAAACAACAAATATCTCTTTATAGCTTTTAGTGCTGATATAATTTTAATTCTATCATACATTCTTATAGATAGAGACAAATATAATGTGGGTATGTGTGTGTAGAAGTGAAAGGTTGTTATTTATAACTAAATTTTCACTCTTTTAGATCCATATATTGGATCATTTGGGAAGCACATTTTTCAAATTTCACAAGAATTTTGGGGATAACTGATAAAGACATACCGCGGTTAGACTTGATAATTTAAAACTATGCAATAAATGCCTGAACATGTAGAGTATAATGGTAACACTTGAGTAATAAAGTAATTTACAGAAAAAATATTTTTCTATGAATATACTTAGTATGTTAAGTTATTAAAAAATGCAAGGGTAATATATTTTACATTGCAATCTTTCTGTTAGCCTTGTTGGGATTTTGAGATAGGGTCATGTTTCGTAGTTCAAATGATCTTAAATTCATTATAACCCAGGGTGCTGGCATTACGGGCATGAACCACCATTCCTGGCTCACACTGCAGTCGTTTGGCAAAGGTCAACATAATTGATTCATTAAAGACTTATTTAGTATTAGTTTTACATTTTAAAAATATACATTGTGTTGGCTTTGGCATCTCTAATTTAGCATTTGGCAGAAGATAAACTAGTATCTAGGATGATACAATTCACATTGTAATGTAACAATATAATATTCATATAATACATTATAATGTTAATATTGATATAATATACTTACAATTTAATTGTAATATAATACAGTTATAACATAATGTATAATATAATAGTCTACTATAAAATATTGTATAATATATGATATAATTGCATTATAAAGTAATTGACATTCTGTCTGATATTTAGCAACTCACATCTCTTAGTAAAAGACATTCAAAAATATTTACTAGCCTTGATATAAAAATAAGAAATAATTAAGATATTTTGTGTAGTTCTGAAAATAATCATAGCTTGAAGACAATGTGTGCACTTTTTTTTTTTTTTTTTTTTTTTGGTACCTGGGATCAAACTCAGGGCCCTGAGCTTGCAAGGCAGGCGCAGGACCACTAAGCTAAATCCCAGGGTCATGTTCACATTTTTAATATATAAACATGTTAGGTTAAAATGGAGAATTCATTTATATGTTAATTTTAGAATATGATTAAAAGTAAAATCACATGGCCAAGAAAGTAGAGACATAGGTACACGATCACCGAAATAGAAAATTTGGAGATCATGAGGATTGAACCTTGAATTTTGGGGAGTACAAAATTTTTTCTCTGCAAGATAGTGGTCCATTTAAGATCATGCAGCACATTTATAACAGGACTGACATTAGAATCTTTCTAAAAAGAACTACTGTCAACAGAAAAATTATTATTCATGAAAAGTAATTCACCTATATTGATTTCCTGTAAATGGTTCATGCTGTAAATAAATTATATACAGTATTTATTTGTAGAGATGAGATAAAGTTTAAGTGGCTCTAAGTTGCAGCCTAATACATTACAATAGTGTTAAGTTCTCATGCTGAATTGTTTTCAAAAAAGATGTTTTAAACATTTTTAATTTCTTTCTTTTAATATTTTCCATTTTATTGTCCATCACCAGGATGAATAAAGAAATGTTTATTTCTGATTCAATGATACTATCTGTGTTCTTCAACTGCTACTAGTGGTGTAAAAAATGAATCTATAAATCTATAAATCTAAGGGAAATGGTTTTATTTATACTCTATGAATAAAGATAAATTAGTATTTTAAAATTTTATTGTTCTTATAACACTTAATAACTGAAATATTTTCCAAATACCCATCTGAACACACAAAAGTTTGAGTTGCTTAAAATTTTCATACTTTGTTGTGTCTCTTAAATAAAGACATTTCTTCAAAGCCTCCTGCGAATACTTTTTAATTATTGTAGTAATTATTCTTCAATTTTACCTGCATAGTTTGTCATGAGAAAAAAAATCAAATGATATATACTCACAAAAGACTTAATGTGTTGATATTAAATGTTAATATTTCAGTAAACACATACGCATAAAACATGCATTTACAATCACTAAATAGTAGGTATGCCTGGCATCAGTTTCACAATCCTATTGGACCGTAATGTGGACATTAGTCTAAAATAGCTCACTTTATATCTCAGTTCTAATATAGAAAATTTCTTTCATAAAATATTTTTATCTCGAAATAGTGAAGCTGAATTGTCTAAAAACATTGCTCTTTACATTGTGATTGGGAATCAGCTTGGTATTGGTCACCATATAATTTTCCAGTGGTTTGAGATAGTAATTATTAACAGGCACAGCACTACATGTTGGCATTTGCTAAATATTATTTGTGATCCTGATTTTGTGATGCTAGCAATCAAGTGGACATAAAAATACAGCAAAGCATATATGTTAAGGATTGTTTTCTTGAATTATTACTTATAAAATTTTATTACAGAGCACACCAACTTGTATCGTCTCTATAAATTATTTCTAGTACAACTTTTAAATGTGGATGATGGTTTTTATAATGAGGGTGGACTTCAAAATGCGTAAAGTGAGGGACCTAACACTCAACTGTTCTTCCACAATAAAGAATCTATACAATGGTGACACTTTATAGCTATGTTTTCAGGTGAGTGACAGCGGGAGAACTCTGGATGGAAATCAGCAGGACAAAATGGAAACTTTGTATGATCCAGGTTCCAGGGAACAGAAGCAAATTATGACAATGGCACAGGAAGAGAAGCAAATTATTCTGGAATCTGCCACCCCAGCATTATGGCATCTTGAGATACAGGAGGCTTGTGGGTTGGGCTGGGGATGGTGAAGCCCCTCCTCTGTAGGAGTAAATGCGGAAGACAGCATGTCATCAAACTCTATCGGCATAGACGCTAGCAATGCTATTGGAAAGTTTCACAACTCTTACAGGTTTATAGCCTAATCATAAAAGGAACCTCGATTCTGCACAACGGGTTAAATTTGGAAAAAGGATTTCTAATCCTCTCCCAGGGAATTACCAGAAAGCTATTGTCAGGAGGCATTTTAAGAAAGAAATATCTGAATCTAGATGCTCTAGGGATCAGTGTATATGCCAGTCCCGTACAGATTCACTCTGGTGGCAGGACAGCAGGCAGTCACGCATGGTTCCTACCGCCCCTCTCCCCAACACCTTGCTCATGTACCTTAAAAACCAGGGCAGAAAAGATATTATGGCCTTGCCATGCTCCAGCTACCACTCCATTCTCAGGAACATGTAGTTGTGGGCGCTATGGTTCCACTCCTAGGCAGTAGCAGAGACGTAGCATGACTGCAGGCTGACACTGCACCTCATCTGATCACATGACAGGGCTTATCATAGGGCTTGGTACAAAGGCCATTGAGGAGCTGCTGTACTTTCTATTCTGCAGCTACTCATAGAGCACCTGGACCCGTGACCTGTCTGGTCACAGAATGAGTACTGCAGGCTCCTCCTTACTATTGGTGCAGCCAGTGCCAGAAACCCTTGCAAGTGAAAGAGTTAACATTAACAATGCTTAAAGAATTCCCTCATCATCTGATAAGGGCCACCACTTCCCAGTAGGAAAAGCTGCACAGAAAACACTTGGCAAATTGTGCTGTAGACAGCATATGTTGCTGAACTGCTACAGTGTTCTTATTCTTGTAGAGACAATGGTCTTTCCCATTCTACTGTACTGCATACTGCTCCTACATTCTCTAGTCAGTCAAAGAAGCTGCAGGGAGAATACCATTCAATGTGCAGCCTAGGAAAAAAAGCCAACACGGCATGACAAACTGACTCCCCAAGACACACTTTCAAGATAAAGTCTTAGGAATGAAGACATCTCATAAAATTGTAAGGATATCTAATTCAGATGCATGAATTTCAACATAGATTCCAAAGAAATCAAAATGGATGAAATGCCTGACGGAGAATTCAAAAAGAATATCTTTTTTAAAAATTCAGTGAGATCCATGAAAAGTTGATAGACAGTTGAAATCAGTAAGACATTGCAGGAGATACATAAAAAATTCAGCAAAGGGATATTTTGAAAGAGCTCCAAGCAAATCTTAGAAATGAAAATCTTAAAAATTAAATAAGTAAAGTGGAAGGAAAAAATATTGGAGCTTAAAGGCAGGTATTTGAAATATTATATTCAGACAAAAAAAAGAAAAAAGAAAGGAAGGAGGGAAGAAAGGAAGAAGGAACAAAGGAAGGAAGATGGCACTTAGACAGGGATGGGTTGTAGATCTGTGGTGCTGTGCCTACCTGGCAAGTACAAGGTCCTGAGCTTGATCCCAGTAAGAAAACAAAAACAAACAAACAAACAAACAGAAAACTGTGTGACACTAATTAAGCATCAAACATCTGCATCATTGGCACAAAGTTCAGAAAATAAACATTAAAAGCATATAAAATATATCCAATAAATAATAGTAGAAAAATATTCTAGATCTTAGGAAAGATAGAAACATGTATGTACAGATACAGAATCCCAAATAGACATGAGGAGAAAAGTACTTTACTGTGATATATTATGGTTGAACTGTGAAAAGTACAGAATAATAAGGAATTTTTAAATCTCCACCAGCAAAGCACCCAGTGACATTTAAGGAAAACCCTATTAGATCCACAGCAGATTTCTCATCACAAACACTATGGGTTTAGGAAAATAGAATTACAAATTCTAGGTTCTGAAAAATGTAATTTCCAGCCAAGATTACTATATTCAGCAAAACTATCCTTCAGAAATGAAGAAATAAAGACCTTTGAAGATCAGTAAAACTGAGAGAATCCATGAACACCAAACCAGCCTGACAAAAAATCTAGTAAGGTTGGATTTAATCAATGAACAATGTGTGCATGTATACAAATGTTACATTAATATATGATAATGTGTGTAATTAATATGTCAATAAAAATTTTAA